GGACTTTTGTTTTACTACTCCTCAAATCACTTTCACTTTCTTCTTTTTGGTTTGAACAGGATTTCCAAGCATCAGGTCCTGTTCTCCGCTGACTCAAACCAATCAAACGCTCCATTTGGTATGCTACAGAGCCACATGGGGAAGGAAAAGCTTAGGTTCTTGCATCAAGTGAGTCACTTTCACCTGAGTCAGAGGTGCTGGTATGAAGGGGGGGGGAGGAAGACAATATACAATTTGGCCTAATTGTCTCAGAAAAATGTAACCCAGGGTTCCTGTTCATTATCACTATCCAGTGACCCCTTATGAAACTCCCTATTATAAGGGAGTTTCATAAGGGGTGTAACATCAAACATCAGTACATTTATGGACTAGAAATAATACACATTCACAATACAATATTATATTTTTTATAGCGCCTTTCACGTCGGGAGGACATCCCATGGCGCTGGACATTCCGAGATTTGGACCCGATCCGGGAGGTCGGGATCAGGGAGGGTGGAGGACAGGGAGGGTAGGAGGATGGCTGAAGGCTTAGTCGTGGATGAGGCTTTTGAGATGCGCCTTGAAGGAGGCAGGGGAGGGAGCGAGGCAAAGAGACTTTTGGGTGGAGTTCCAAATGGTGCGGGCAGAGAGGCTGAAGCCCCAACCGCCGATGGTGGGGGACATGGAGCAGGCCAGAGCCTGCTGAGCGGAGGGAGTGGACACGTTGATATGGTGTTGATATTCACTGCCCAAAAAGGAATTTATTGTCAAACAAAGAATAAATCGCTGGTGAGACCCACAGTTGTCTCATCCATCTTGTCCTTTCTCTCCTATTCTCCCCTCTCCCTTCCAACAAAGGTAAATGAATAATTTGTTGATTCTCATTGTCTAAATGAACAGTTGAAGAATGACCACTTGGAATATAGCTGGAGGGCCATCAGCACATGAAACTGTATGCCAGCATGAGTCACCATCTTCACCGTTATCCTGTTCAGCTACAAAAACAAGCAACTTGCATTCATATCGTGCCGTTTACATGGGGTAGTGTCGAGGTACAATCTGCTAACAGCACAACATGTAATCTGCTGATCTCTGTAAGGAAAGGATTGCAAAGCGAGCAATGTAAATTTGGGTTGGGGAAAAAGAAAATATTTAATTAGGTCAATGAGCAGGTACTTACTATTATACTAGCCTCTTAATACCCACAGAATTTTGCTTTTGAATAGAGTATAACAGCCTCATTATGCACAGTGAATCATAGTGTAGAATCATCTAAAATAACAGCAGCTACAATCTTCAATGCAATTTCAATACATCATTAGGACAGCTTTCATTTGAAAGCCACAGCAATTGTTTTACACTAACAAAATTAAATTACAGATGTTAATGAATATATTATACATTTCAGTGAAATCTATATAAAACTCAAACGTGGACCCTGACTGATAAATATTCCTGGGTTTTAGTCTGTATCAGTCTGATTAAAAAGTCATCTGGTCAATATCCAAACTTGAATTTTCTTTCACTTATTTTTCTTTCTTCACACAATTTAGCTTTGATACAATCTGTTTATGTCAACCTGTAGTAGCCTTTTCAGGGCAACCCAGTTATCTGAGTAGTTGTCTGAGTCCAATACTTCATATCCCTGCGAACCTAAGAAAGGAGTTAATAATGAGGTTGCCCATATTTGTGGTTGGGGTTAATCTTCAGGCTATAATAATAATTATTCTTGCATTTGATATTGTATCTATAACATTGAAAAATGTTAAAAGTGCTTCTCATGAAATTGCTGTCCAGTGAGTGACTGTGTACTTGTAGGCAATTCTGACAGCCATGAAGTGAATGATCACATAACCCAGAAATAGGATTGCTTATACAATCATAATAGTGTGTGGTTGTTCTTTCACATTGTCCATCTTCCTTGCTAACTGACAGATTTTAAATGCTGCATTGCCACATAAACCTGTGCATTTGCTTTCCTGAATGATGTGCATGCTGTGAAGCACTATTGCTGGGTTAGGTAGAAAATACTTTTATTGGGAACTTCTTAAGGTTGATTGTTGTGGTGACTGGTTCTCATTTACAGACTGATAATTCCTTTGTACACAACTTCTTTAGATGAAAGGTTAGCAGTTCACATGTGGTTCAGGTCCTGCAGATGCTGTGATATTTCACATCTGGAATAGTCGGTATTGCTGATTTCCTATTCTTAATTTCATCACTTAAACCGCTGTTTGAGTGAGTCTAGTGTCCTAGTCTCTATCACCTTCTCTGGCAACCTATTCCAGTCATTGATTACCCTCTGCAAAATGAAAACCTACATATCCTTAGGGCTGTCTGTCAACCATTCCATTTAATTGAGTCCGTCAAGTGGCTGTTTGATGCTACATGTGTGGAATACTTCCTCCAGCAGCTCCTTTTCCTGCCAATGAGTCTTACTTGGACATGGGTGTTTCCTAACTGAGTTTGTGGTGTATCCTTATAATCCAGCTCAGTCTGATTCTATTCTTATTGCATGTCATTCAGCACAGGAATCAAGGAAAGACACGATAGCTATGACTTTGGGCATTCAGGAGTCTATCTTTAACTTTTTGCTGAATAGTTCCAAATGAATTCTATGCAATTTTTTACTGAAACGGGGAAACAAACTCAAGTTTTTTTAGTAATTCTTCTGTGGATTTGCTGACAGCTGTGCGCTACAAGCTGTTTGCCCCACCCAGGGCCCTAAAATTCTTCCTTATAGTCTTAGCCTGTAAGACCATTTTGACTCAAAGCTTAATATCATGCAGTAACGTGGAAAAGTATTGATTCACTCTTAATCAGGAAACCAGTTCATTTAAAACACTGTGGAAAACCGGCTGCCCCACTAAAACTGAATTTGAGAATTTTCTACAATTCTGCACGCTCTTAAAGTTTTAAGACAAATTGGTCTTACAGATGGAATTTCAGGTCTCTGGTTTGAAGCTGATAAGGATAAAAGTATCTCCTGTACTGTAGCTTTGATGGAGTGCAGCATTTTCCTTCCTTCTGCCTTCTCAATTCCGTATGGGAATACCAGATATTTGAGTAAAGAAGGAAACCTTTATTTCCTTCAGTAATACACATCGCATTACTCCCAAATCCCTACAATTTAGGTGTGATGGTAACCTGCAAATCTATTCACAGTGCTGCATTGTAGAATTTGGGTACCACAGATAGATCCCTTTAAAAACTACACTGAAGCTACAGCACAATCCATACCTTGCACAGATCCTCCTGAAACGTATCGATGGACTCACAAACTACAAAGGTCCGGACTATAAAATGGTGACAAGGTTGGCCATCAAGACCAGTGAGTGCAAACTGCTCGCTCTGGGTTGTTTCCTTATTTCCCATTTAGAAGCTAGGTCTCATCTCAGCATTGTTGTTTTTCACAGAATGACTAATAAACCGAAAGTTGGGATGTTTTCTTGAATTCTTGTAAACCACAGGGCAAACAGCAGATGCAGTACTTCAAAATACAACTCTCTGTTTCTTGAGTCACATATACTTTCAAGCAATGCCAACAATTTGAGACAAACAACAACCAGATGTTGTGCAAGCACTGTACCATGTACAGGAAGCAGACCTCATGCTGATGAGGCTTCACAATAGTTACTAAGAAGGAGCAGGTGCCCTGAAACCCGTCCTTGTGTGATTTTCAGGGAAGGATTACAGGTATAATGTTATAATGTATAATGCATTTGGTATAGAGCCTTGCACGACCAAAAGCACTTCACTGGATATACTGTGAAGTGGAGTGATTGTGTATTAGCGCCCTGGGACACTACCCTGCATGAGGGGCGCTATACAAATGTAACTTGTTGTTATTAGTAGGCAAATGCCGCAGCCCAAACAGGAGTGTCCCACGGACAGCCAAGATATGAATAAACAATTTGTTTTGGGGATTACTGGCTAGGAGACTGGAGAAACTACTTGTCTTTTCAAGTAGTGCTGTGCAATCTTTGGACGGCACCTCTGACAATGCAACACCCCCCAGCTCTGCATTAGCATTAGCATGTCATCTTAGACTATGTTCAAGTCCTGACGTGGAGCTTAAACTCATAACCTTCTGACTCACAGGCGAGAGCGCAACTAACTGAGCCCAGCTGCCACACAGTGCATGAGGAAAATGGAAAATGAGACATTGTGAGGGGAAGAATGGCAAACGAAAAGAGAAACAAACAAAAAATCCTCTAAAGCTATACTCAGGCCAGATTATAAAAATATCTATGTGTATAGTTATATATAAATGTAGCAAATAATTTCAGTACAAATAGATAACAAATGTATAGTGTAAGAATGCTGTGAGGCTGACGTTAAAGGCTCTATACCAATGTAATTTGTTGTTGTTCAGGCATCGCTCCAAGCCACACAAATAATAAGGTCCCAGGTTGAATCCCGGGGTGGGGGTGGGTGGTTGGAAATTCAGCCAGGTCTGACTCCTGATCAATTCCCCAGCAAAGTATACACGCGTAGATGTCAATCAAGGCCAGAATTGAACTGTACAACACTAATCCCTGTTGGGCAATCAACCATCTTTGCTGATTCACACATGAGAAACTAAAATTGGATCATATAAAGTACTGGAGAGCCATCACATCCTCCAGAATTAAGCCCCAGCTTGAGACAACGCCTACAGAGGAATAGCATTAGGTGAAGAAACATGGTGAACAGAAAATAAAGAAACCCATGAACACATGGAAAATACAGGAAGGAAATGAAAAGGCTTCATAATGGATCTAGACATCTTTGGCAGTAGAACAGTATTTTGGCTCAAACTTCATTAGCAACACATGGCTCAAAATGTCAAACAGATTCACCTTTAGTACAGTCCAAATAAGTCTCGTAAGCTGCAAACTATAAAACATCACTCTTGAGAGTTCATGCAAAAACCCATCACAAATAAGGAAATGCTTTTACATGTAAAACTCTCGTAATTTAAGTAACAATGACTATACCCAACCATAAAATGGTTTATCCAGAAATGTTAGACTTACCAATAATTGAATCCCTCCGGAAGACATCTCTGTCAAAAATATAAAATGATAGATAGCGAAAACTCCTTGGAATTTCACAATAAAAGTCTTCACCATAAAAGGGGCTGCAATAGAGAGAATTCTTTATTAGTTTATATGTTCCATTCTAGAAACACACAAATAAAAGCACATTTTTTAAAAATTGTTCCAATGTAATCCTGTGGTTTATATTTAATATTCTGCGTATTTTATTGGGCGGAGGGTTGGGGGGGAATGATGCTTAAAACAAGAGTGAATAAAAAGCAGCAGAAAAGCACACATAAAAAAATACAATTTGTTTTGGGGATTACTGGCTAGGAGACTGGAGAAACTACTTGTCTTTTCAAGTAGTGCTATGCAATCTTTGGACGGCACCTCTGACAATGCAACACCCCCCAGCACTGCATTAGCATGTCATCTTAGACTACGTTCAAGTCCTGACGTGGAGCTTAAACTCATAACCTTCTGACTCAGAGGCAAGAGCGCAACTAACTGAGCCCAGCTGCCACACGGTGCATGAGGAAAATGGAAAATGAGACATTGTGAGGGGAAGAAATGGCAAACGAAAAGAGAAACAAACAAAAAATCCTCTAAAGCTATACTCAGGCCAGATTATAAAAATATCTATGTGTATATTTATATATAAGTGTAGCAAATAATTTCAGTACAAATAGATAACAAACGTATAGTGTAAGAATGCTGTGAGGCTGATGTTAAAGGCTTAATTACCAATTACCAATTACCAATGTAATTGTAACACAAACATTTAATATTTTGAAGAGCAATAATTTAACTCAGCACAGGCAGTCTTTGTAGAGATTAAAGATTTTCTGCCAATGTGGAAGCCACTATATAAGTGTAAGCTGTTGTTGTTGACTGCTTTGTATAACTCCATTTGCACAACTTTTTTCCAATAATACTTTAACATTTCCACTGGAGTCAAATAGAACTGCTGCAATATTCATTCCTATATCTGAAGGAATGACTGGATACTGTGCACCTTCGGCTTTTCTTTTGAAAAAAATGTTTTGCGTCAGTTTGTGTCAGTCCAGATTTGTGTACAGACTTACTACTTATAATGAATTAAACGCTGCACCACAGTCACACCTTTCAAAAAACACTAACCATTCTGGATGCACATCATCATTAATCCAAGTGCTGTATCTAGCACAAATATCTGTCATCACTAGTGCAACCATATGTTAAATTGGGCCTAGTGAGTCACCTTGCAAAGGCTGTAGAGCGTAATTCTTATTTTATACTGAAAATATGCTGTTCGCCAATCACTTCCCCATTGATCCGACTCAAGCATTGCAACTAGACTTGAGAGGATTCTGTGCAATACAATACAATTTGCATAGCACTTTTCACAATGGGAGGACATCTCAAAGCACTTCATATGATTGACTGGGCATCTGATCTAGGGTGATGGTGGGGGGGGAAAAGATGGCCAAAAGCACAGTAAAAGAGGTACATTTTTGGACATGGCTTGAACAAGGGTAGGAAGGAAGCGAGGGGGTCAGATGGCCTCCGGAATAGAGTCCCAGAATAATACAAGGTGTACACAATTCACAAATGCAGAATACTTCTCATATGAACCAGAACGTTCACCAACAAAAAGTCACTATACACCTACCAGTCTCCAGCAGAATTTTAATCTGGCATAGGATGTAGCCAATTAAACCAAAATGAGTTTATTACCAGACCGATTAAACACCAAAACTAGAAACAAATATACACAAATGTATCTTAAAAAAGTCTCCAAAAAGCATCACGAGGAATTAAGTTTGCCTCAGATCTCACAAGGAAATTGTAGAATTAAACCTTTAAAATTCAGGAGTTGCTAATGTTTACTGAAGAAGAAAGAGGTTTCCCTTTCTACATAACAAAATTCCATCTTCGATCTTGAGATGCTGCCTACTGAATTTCAGCCTGCTTTATATTCACAAGGGTCCTGGGACTTCAGGAAAATGCAAGATCATAATCTACAGTAATGATAACTTTCTATTTTATTTAAACTCAACATTTGAATGAAAAGTACATCCTGAAGCTCAGTGGCTAACACTGAGATCCCTTAACAACAAACAAGATTACCTGGTTATCAGAACTAATAGGGTCTTTGATTCATCTTTTGCACCCACAAATACTTGATATATGTGACAATTGCTCAGCGGTGCAGTCTGATTTTTGTAGTCTGGTTAATAGCCAAATAGCCAACACTTGTATTGAGCTTCTGTTTCTGTAAATAAGGCACTGAGATCTTACTCAGCTTTTTACATTTAACGCAGCAAGGGAATGCTCAGATATCTAAGCTTGCTGGGATCGGGTGAAGGGATGTAGCTGCACATTCTGACCATTCCGGGTCAACAGACAAATACTCAGACCCAGGAATGTCTCGGCTGCATGTTAGACTATTCCAAACTAACTAAAAATTACAAAGATTTGTGGAAAAACTCCCCTATAAAAAGATGCAAGTACAATTCCTATGTTAGGAATAAAAATTTAGCAGTGCTCCTTCAAGACTTTTTCAGTTGTACATCTCCCCTTATTCTATATACAGATATAGACACCTTCACATTACGATTGCAAAAGACAGCTGTACATTTACTTCTGAAGGCACAAAAGTAACCTGAGCACAAACGTTTAAAACATCAGCTAGCAAGGCATTGCTAATCAGCTGTGCATTCATCTTGTACATATAAATATTTAGAAATTAAGAAAAGGAAAACAATTCCAATACAGGGAAACCTAGAATGAAGGCAGGAGAAAACTTCTATGTCGTTCTGTGCTATTTAAATTGTACAAACGTGATATCAGAATACATGAAGCACTAAATTGCACTTCCAATAACATACAATGTACTTTTTAAAAAGATAGTTATTAAGAATTCATGAAGGAGTTTATGGTCTGGCAAAAATGCCAAACAACCAGTTCTGCTATATATATGTACATAATATATATCTATATTCTTTGCATTGTAAAAGTTCCAAGTTGAAACAAACTTTGTTCCTGCAAATTATCAAACTGAGACCTAAAATACTGTAGTGTATAGCATTAAAACCCAGCCTACCCACCCCTCACTAAGTTAAAAGGTTCTAAGGCTCTAATTTTACAAAAGTAGCCGTTAAGCAATACTACTCTGCATATCGGTAACTCCAATAATTCTGCTCTTTATGGAGGGAGAAAAATACTAGACCTTGGAGGTCCTCACCGGTGTTTCCCAGGGAACTGTTAGATGAGTGTTAGAATGCCAGAGGTAATACTTCTGGCCTTTGGATGTTATCCTTTAGGGCAGGGGTGAATTGAAAAATATATTTCAAAACTTTTATTTATGGTGTTAATTAATTACTTTTGTATAAGTATCATAGGCTTTGTGTTGATTCTTTCTTCAAAGAACACAATATAAAAGTTAGCCTTGCTCAGTTGGTAGCACTCTCAACTCTAGTTGGGGATTCAATCCCCTTGTTGGGACTTTAAGATTATAGTAACAGTAATAATAATCCTTGCATTTGATATAATAATAATCCTCGCATTTGATATAGCGCTTTTTCACATCTTCGAGGCAGAGCGTTATCATGTTGTCGAGACGTTTCAAAGAGCTTCACAGAATATATTGTAATTTGGATTTACCGTGTATTTTGTGGGAAAAGTCCAGCAGCCAATTGCGCACAGAAGTGATTAAGGAACCATGCCTAAGGTTTCGACCTGCCAGGGAATCACATCCGGATCCTCTCGCTTGCGAGGCGAACACGCTAACGATCACGCTACGGGATTCCATCTAGTCTAGGCTGACACACAAGTGCAGTGCTGTGGGAATGCTGCATTGTCAGAGGTGTCCTTCAGATAAGGTGTCGTTAAACCAAGGCCTCGTCTGCCTGTTCAGGTGGATGTTAAAGATTCCATGGAAATATTTGAAAAGAGACGAGAGTTTCTTCTGGTGGTCTGGCCAAGAGATAAAATTGTTCACGCACTTCATGGCTGTTTGTAGGGCAATGCAGTGTGCTAATTGGCTGTTGATTGCATCACTACAATTTACAAAAAATTCTGTCCAGCGCTTTGAGAGGTTTTGATGACGCTTTTAAGTGCAAGATTTATTACTTTATTATTAAGGCCAGAAAAATACAATTTGCATGGGCTGAATATTTGACTTTTTTTTAATAAAACGGGAATTTATATTTACAGAACTGAAAGCTGCATCAAAAAGAAAGCTTCAAATTCTCATAACATCAGCGAATTCAAAACAGTAATCTTGATTTTTTTCTCTGCATTTCAATCTGAAACTCTGATCTCAGGAAAAGTGGAAAAAACTACCAGTTCACACCTAGCTAAGGGCATTAGAAGCAAGAAGCTTGCTTGGTTGATACCTTTTCTATTAGAAATGAAATGAACAACACAAATGTTGTGCACTTCCCTGGGACAACACTGCAGTGTAGTGTAATCCCCAGTGCAGGCTCACACACAGTGGTCACTTTGTTCCATCTCAGCACTGAAAGGTCAGACTACTACAAGGCCCTGTGTGATTGATGTCCGTAGCACAGTCACATTATAATAAATTGCACGCCAGCAAATTCTGGTGGCCTCCACATGAGAAACTCCATTGGTGCAGTCAAGGCTGGCGGTTGGCCAGTCGTTGTGCACATACTTTGCTGTACTTAAGTCCCAGAAAGCTGTAACAGGAACACAAAACTCTCAGCAGGCCTTCATTCAGCTGCAAATCTCCGTGTGCACTATAAACAAGTGTAGGGCAAATCAGTTTTGGTTCTCAACAGAAAACAAAACCGCTAAATATTCAATTGGCACAGCAAAAGTAGGCTCTCTTTATTCACTTGTCAAGACTGTAACAGCAGACTCTTGTTCTGATATTGGCACAATATCCTGTTTCTGGACATACTGGAGGAATGACAGACAGAAATGCCCATTTTTATTCAATGAAGCTTCAAATCCTTATTCATTTTTTAAAAAAAAAGAAATGTTATAAGGATGAGCAGTGGACCAATTCAAAATCCCAAAGTAACCTGAATGGAGCTATTTATCAAAAGAAACATGTGAAATGGATTTTGCTATGTACTATTTTCAGATTGTATTTGTTAAAAATAAATTATGAACGATATGCGTTTTCGAGTCTTGCCACAAGGTTACCATGCCATAACAGGTGGCAAGAAGGCTCCTGACATCACTAGTCAGTGCCCTAAACCTTTTTGTCCAGGTTCAATTCAGATTTCACACCTGACTCAAAGACATGTGCCATCCGATCCCTAAATCCGGGGGATGAGGAAGTGAAGTCAAAGGCATTTGATCTCCCCTCACTCCTGAGTCTTTTTTGAAACCCAAGGCAGCCCAGTTGGGAACAGACCTGAAAGAATTGGACAGCCTCCAAAATACGAGTCAATTTACAATACCAGTTCAGTATAATAATCATCTCTCAAAGCAAAACTAAAACTCCAGTCTAGATCCGAAAGTCAACAGTAAAGTAGTGTCCAGTGCTTCTCTGTCAGTGGTGTAGTTTTCAACAGAGTGGGACTCAAGGGGCTGGATTGTAGTATGTTGCTAAACAAAGGGGCATTCTTAAAACAATCTTTACATTTTCTGCTTGTCATTGGTCTCACACCCAGTTTTATTTTGAAAATAGCAGTCGCATTTCCCACCGCCCACAACCTTAGGAATATATGAGGAAAGAGAGAATCCAATCATAGCTACGTCTACTTATAACTCATGAACAACTGGTCCTGGACAGACCTGCATCATTCTTCCTCAATCTTTCATTCTGGCAAGTGGGATTTTCCTCCTTTGTGCAATTCCCCCGGTGCCCCGCCCTCCCTCCACAGCTGGTTACCTGGCTGACCATCTAAAACTTGCAATCGATATGTATTTTGAAAGAAGGAATTGGTGTTCTTATTCTCATCATGTCTACAAAATATATTTAATTTACAGACTAGAATCAATACCTCTTTCGCAGACATGTTGGTTCTTTACTCTGACACCAATTTTCTGAAAAAACCTAAGTTTACTTTTAAACACAATTTCCTCCATGAAAAGATTAACTACTACTTTGGAAAATAGACCTCCCTGATCCGAGCACTAAACCAATTCCAAATTCCAAGTTCGGGAATTTTGTCCGTAAGCGACAGTACCTTCATAAATTTTATAAATAACTATCCTGTAAGACTAAATGTGCTTTTTTTTCTGTTTACTTCAGAGGAATGAGTATTAAAAAATAAAGACTGAAAAATGTAGACAAAGATTATGTTGCATATCTCTGCTTTTAAATTTTCATTATCATGGAGCAAATGACACTAGCCCCCTTGTTTTGTACATCTTTTATCCATCTCATTCTGCAGTAGCACACAGATGTCTGATGGTAACCACAGAATCTGAAGCAAAACAAGTCACATGAACCACTCAACCCACGACTTACACCTCATTTCAGTGGTGAAAAAAAAACCGCTTACACTATCAACACAATAATTTGTGATTCTGCCTTTGAATGCTCTTTGCTTTCTTTCCATTTGAGACGTCTCAAAGACATGATAAGGCACCATTTCAAATGCAAGGATTATTATTATTATCGTTCTCCAAAAAGACAGAAAAGGAAAAACAGCATTGAAAAGGGAAAGTAGCACTGAATAGTGAAAAATCTCAAAGCCAAATAATAATAAAAGTAATCCTCACATTTGATGTATAAATGGAACTTCTTGTATGCTTTGATTTCCTCTATTATATGCTCCCATTGCTGTTTTAGATAATTTGGTTGCTCGCCATTAATTAAAACACAGCTCTCCTCCTATCTTTTATTTAGAAGGAAAGGATTAATTCATTTTTAATACTGCTACAACATTTGTTCATGAGTTTTTCATGCTGTTTACTAGTATAAACTGAGAATTTAAATTAAAAGATGATTAAAGTGGCCTGTATTGGCCGTTTTTTTTTTGAGACAATCTTTTCTCACTCCATTTTTCATTTAATTTCACACTTGATACAAATCATTTTCACATGTAAAAATGCTTCTTTGTGTTTGCTCATACATACAAATGTTACTGCTGAGGAATTCCATTTCAGGTACCTAGTGTCCAGATCAGAGTTCGTATATCTCCTGTATACAGGAGTCCTGTAGCTCAGTGGTTAGAGCACTCGCCTTGCAAGCGAGACACCTGGATTCAATTCCAGGCAGGGCGAAACCTTGGGCAAGTTTCCTTACTCCACACGCCTGATAATAATCCCTCCAAAACCAAAAAAAAAACAATAAATTGGTCATTTTCAATCCACGACTGCTTGTGGGACACTGCTGTGTGCAATTGGCTGCTGCGTTTCGCCCAAAAATATACAGTCAATTCACTTTGCAGCATATTCTGTAAAGCACTTTGAGACGTCTAGAAGACGTGAAAAGCGCTATATCAAATGCAAGGCTTATTATTATTTATTATTATGTAGCATCTTATGGTGTTGAAATGTGTCAAAAGTGCTTCACAACAACAACAACAAGATTCCATTTATAAAGCGCCTTTCACGTCAGGAGGACGTCCCAAGGCGCTGCACAGTTGGGTCATGACCCGAGCAGGGGGAAATGGTCAGGGGAGGGGAGGGAAGGGAGGGAGCAAGGAGGGGGGAAATGGTCAGGGTGAGGGGAGGGAAGGGAGGGAGCGAGGAGAGGGAAGAGAGTCGAGAGGGTAGCTGAAGGCATGGTCAAAGAGAATATATATTCACAGATATTTGTTTAGTGTAGTAACTGGGTATAAGTGAATGCAGAAGCCAATTTGCAGACTGCAATGTCCCACAAACAGTAATCAATGACCTTCTCTTAAAAATTGGGCGATTGTTGGCCAGGACATCAGGTGAGACTCCTCTTTTCAAACAGTGAATGATGGTGAGGAGATTGCCAGAGTGCAACTTGAAATGCCTACTTTTTTTTGGCTGAGCTGTGGAACCACATTTTTATACTACTGTCAATGGTCATGCTTGGCCATGCAAGATCTCCGACTCCACAAGTCTTTGTGCAGTGTACACTTAACCATTTTACACTGACATTTGGTGTTTGGTCCATGCCCAACAAGATGACACACGAACACAAGAAAAGCAGCAGAACAGGAGTAGTCCAAGAATTGCAGGAACTGTGGGTTTTAGGAAATGAGACAGTGATACAGAAAGATGTCCAAATAGCAGCTCAAAACAGACTGTGAGTCCAGAGGTTCACACAGACAACAACAACAACAAAATTATATTTATAGAGCACCTTTCACATCGGGAGGATGTCCCAAGGCGCTGGACAGTCAGGGGTCAAGACCCGAGCATTGGGGAGGGGTGGGTTATGGGTGAGGGAAGGCAGAGAGGTGGGAGGGCAACTGAAGGCACGATCAAAGAGGAGCATCTTGAGACCGGCCTTGAAGGAGGCAAGGGAGGAAGCGAAGTGAAGGGACTGTGGAATGGAGTTCCAGAGTGTAGGGGCAGAGAGGCTGAAAGGGCTGGGCGGGAGACATGGAGCAGGCCGGAGCCCGCTGAATGGAGGGAGCGGGCAGGTTGGTAGGGAGACAGCAGGTCAGAGAAGTAGGAGGGGGCAAGGCCATGGATAGCCTTGAAAGTGAGCATGAGGATCTTGAATTCGATCCTCTGATAAAGTTAACGTCCAAAACTATGGAATGCAGTAAAGCAACAACAACAACAACAACAAGATTCCATTTATAGAGCGCCTTTCACGTCAGGAGGACGTCCCAAGGCGCTGCACAGTTGGGTCATGACCCGAGCAGGGGGGAAATGGTCAGGGTGAGGGGAGGGAAGGGAGGGAGAGAGGAGGGGGGAAATGGTCAGGGTGAGAAGCAGCAGAAGCAAGATGGTTTATTTTTCTCGAAAGGAAGAGTGGGGGATATAAAAAATATAGTAAGCATTTTCCAGTCCCTGGCTGTTATCCAACGACTGTGGTATGTATGTTCGGTAACGACAAGTTGGCTCATCTGTGATACTTATACAATCACACACTCAACAGTATTGAAAATGCTCTTGCTGGATAAAAGTAGGGATGGATAATGCAAATTAAAATCAACTCAGGGCGTAAAGCTGCTTGACATAAATCTCATGTTCATCACACCGACTGCGGCCACATTCTGTTGTCAATTGGACACATTTTCTCCCCCCTCCAATACAAACAGAATGCAAAGCATGGGGTGGCAGGAGTAGGAAGGGGTGCCACAAACAATGATAACCGAAAATAGTTGATGCAGGATTAATGAGTAACAAGCAAAGGGATCCTGCAGCTCCAGATTGTCAGTATCTAAAGACAGCAATTCCAGGAAATAGCACAACAAGCTAATTTTAACCTATTAAACTTTTACTCTGATGTTAGAGTACCTTCAAACCCCTTTTAAAAACATAGTTCTTCAATTATGCTTTTTTGTCAACATTATTAAATCTCACTTTCCCTGCTTGACGCTCTCTATTGCATCTGTTAAGCACTTTGAGACGTTCATCCAAAGTAAAAGGTGCCATGCAATGCAAGCTGTTGTTATACACCAGAATGATTTTGTTCCACTTTAGTGGCCAGCAGTACTTTAGTAATTAACACAAAGAACAGAACTGAATTAAGAGTTTGTACCATAAGGATTTCTCCACTATTTTGGTCCTGAAAACCTCCTCTTGATCCAGATTCACTGTACAGTAGCAGTCTCTCATTTTATTTGGTCCTGGATAGGGAGGCATGTTTTTTGCTTCTCCTGTAAAAAAAGGAAAGAATATAAGTGCCAAGTTAAAAATTAAGCAATCTGATTATATATCAAATGAAAAACAAACACATAGATGCAGCTATTGGACCACAGGTTCTGCAGATGTCTCTCTCAGCCTAGACCATTGCATGGGTCTCTGTATGGATATCTAACCCCAAAGTTAACCAGAGCTTTCTGAGAAACCCAATGGACTTTGAGAAATCTATGGTACAGACTTTACTGGAGTGACTCTTTCAATCGCTTAGTTATCTAGATAGGCCAGGGATAGCCAACTTGGGGTCCATGAGTCCACAAGTTAACCAGCCCTGAACTAGACAATGATTTCATCGCTTTCAAGTACTTCAAAAACATATTTGTGAATTTTTGCAAGTATCTGTTGTAAAGGTGTTGAAGCAGTTCATTGTTAGCACACTCTGATGAAGCACAAATACTTTCAGATGTGAAAAGCAGACACAAAGCAATGCTGGCAGATGCTCGGGCTCAGGTTGTATGACTGACCTCTTAGCCAGGAATGGGGCACAGAAGGGGAGAGGTAAGAAACCTGGAGAGGATTTGTTTTTAAAAATTACACACACATAAAAGTGCTAAGTATATATAAACATACAAAATTTCCCTGTAGTCTCAAGTTTTGCCTCCCCAACTCCAGCCAGACAAGTCTGGTAGTGATAACATTCAGGTAAGATCAGCAGTTTCCACAAGTGCACACACTGTACAGTACTCTGCATGTCTGCAGTGTCTACCTTAAAGGCTCAACATTTCCAACAATGTACTTACTGGTCGGTCTTTGATATGAGCGGTAGAATGCAGTAATGTACCGCACTAACCAGGCTTGATGTAGCATAGCATTGCCTACATCAGATACTTTAAGACAAAACCTTATCTAGCCATCAGTGAAGAGAGTACTGATGAAGATTAGTGACTGCCAGCCAGCCAGTGATGAATGCCATTGGTTGGAAGAGGATGTCAACATAAACAAACATGAAAAATTTCCTCTCAGTAAAATATGGAATTTTTAAAATAAAATAAAAAGTCCTCCACCTACTCAAAATGGTGTTGGGTCACCTAAATCTTTAAAATAATATCTTCACACCATTAAAAAAAAAGTTTCAGCTTTTGAAATTGTCTGTAAAAATAAATCACTTGATAGATGAGAATCTCGAAACTGTAACTTGGAAGTCAGCTGGCAATAACTGAAGGGACATTCCGATCTCCCTTCCTCCTAAAAGCCCGGACCTCCTTGGTTATTACTGGCTTTACAACTACAGAACAAAAGCTCCACGGCCAATTATGTACAGTATTTAGACAAGAGTATGGGGAAAATCCAGGGAATGGGATTTAATGAATTGTTCTTTCAGAAAGCCAGCATTGGCACGAAAAAATAATAATCCCACCTTGACAGAATTTGTAAAGTTAAGACTTATTCTGCTAAAAAAAGAAGGAAATATTAATGAATTACATTGATTGACATAGTTTAAAGTGTAAAGCTTTCAATAGATTTCATAACAGTCTCCTGAATTCCCTGGTGCACAAATGCTGCAGGTATGATACTTGCACTTGCTATTGTTTCTTGGCATAAGCCATTCAAAGTACTTGTTGTAGCACTCCGCAAACCCTTCATCTCAATTAGGCTACATCCCAATGGGTAACATGGGGTTCCTCAAGCATTAACATTAGACTATGAAAGGAGCATGACTAATCCCATGTAGCTGCAAACTTGACTGAAAGTCAAGCCACTTACATGACAACAGCTCTCCCCCATGCTAATAATAGTTTTCAAAGCAGGAAATGATAAAATATGCAAATCATTCAAACTGACCAAAACATGTTCCAATGGTTCGTAGGATTCAGTTTTCATTTGTATCATGTTGCTTTCTTCCCCTATGTATCAAATCTTTATTCCAGCCGTAAATATTCAGTGCAGTAACAATTTATAAAGCCCATGTTTCCCACTTGCTGATCTCAGCTATTAGCTAACTTTTCAGCAGTCTTCGTCTCCAAGATCACAAAAGAGGTGCAGACAAGGATGGCTCTTGAGTCTATTTGATCCAATTCTGCCCCCCAAAAAGCTCTATTTTTCCCTTTACAGAATCAATCCCCTTGGATACATCGCTTTTCATTATCACTTAATTTTCTTTAGTTAGTTATTAATCCATGTCATGCCCTACCCTTGATCCTTGATACCCAATGACATCAAATTCTAAAAGAACCTCTCATGTGGCATTTCGCTAACGGCTTTTTGAAATCTTGGTGCAATTCATAAGGCTTTCAACTGCCAAAATAGGTTGTCACCTCCTCAAAAAAGAGATTGGTCAGACAAGAGCTACCCCTTTTGAAACCTTGCTGGCTGTTTATTGGCTATTTTCATATATTTTGTTTCTAATAATTGATTCCTTGAGTTTTCTAATTATTGTGGTCAGACTAATGACATACGGTTGCCAGGTATGGCTCCCTCACCTTTATGTACAAAATCTAGATTTGCTTGTCGGTCGAAACTACACAACTGTTCATTAGAACCCTCAAAATATTTGTCATTGCTTCATACATCTGCTTTTTCGCTCTGAGTACCCCAGGGGACAGTTAATCCATCTGACTGTTTGTTGTTTTTCAGCCCCTTAAGTCCATCTGAAACATCTGCCTCATTAATGGCAAATACCAATGTGTAATGTGTATTGAGCGCTGGAAAGCATTTTTTGTGCTTTCACTAGTTTAAAAACAAATCCAAGAAGGAGTCATTTAATATGTTTACTACCTAATTTTCAAAACCCTTTGTGTGCTTTTTGGTTTTAATTTCTTCCCTGACCACCTTCATACCATTTCTCCCAATGTCGTGGCTAACAATCCTCCCAGACAAACTGTCGTTCACTTCATGACTGCGTGTAGCACAGCCTGATGCTTTGTTCAACTATAAATACAGTCACTTCACAGCAATAACCTGCAAAGTGTTTTGAGATATTTAAAAGCTACAGCTGCTATATCAAATGCAAGGATTATTATATATTATTTTTAATGTTGGAAGAAATTTTTGACATTACATTTTACATCTGCTGCTATATTTCACTTGGCTCTCACTATCTCTTTTATAAAATTTCCTCTGTATAATCTTACACTCACCAAATGCTCATTCTCTCTCTTCAGAACCTCTGAAACTCTTTCTTTATTGCTAATACTCCTATAAATTTTCTTTTTGATCTATGTGTGTCACCCTTTGTTTAATGTTGCTCCTTCTGCACTTCGGTATGTACTGGTCCTGTGAGTTGCACATAATGTCTTTGAGGGATTTCTATTTATCCTCAATTGATTTATCCTCAAGTTGTTCCCCAGTCTACGTTATCAAGCTCAGCCCTCAATCCCCTGAAGCATATGTATAATTGGGTATAGTTGTGTTGTTTACCCAAGTGAGGCTGAATATTATTGAGCTATAGCTTAGTTTCTCAACTACAATATTTATTTTGCTGAATAGTCTGGGTCAAGGAGAGAACAGCCCCTTGTGGGCTCTCTAACACACTGAGTCAGAAGCAGTCGTGTATTGTGTTGACAAATTCAGAGTTCTTCTCATTTGGGAATTTCCAGTTGAAGTCCGGAATCAGTGATAACTATATTTTTACATATGTTAGTAAGTTTTTGACAACATCTTCTGTATTCTGGCCATCGTTAAAAAAAAATGTTATTCCTGCTATTTCTACTTCATGGGGTCTAAAGTGTGTGGATTCACAATGGATTTATAGATATTGAATCCTCCTGGTAACCAGACATTACAGCACACCGTTCCCTGGGAATTCCACTCTAATACCACCAGACATAGATTAGGTCAGAGTGGACTTCCTGTGGGTCAGTGTGATACACATCTGGCTACTGATAGGATTTAATAGTTGCAACTCTAGGTTATGAATACGGATACTTTAGGCTCAATACCTTCACAGATTAAGTAGTGCAGGTGGAACACACTGCCAACTGGAATTCAATCATTAAAAATATTATTTAAAACAGTTATGGTTATCTTACCCAGAGTTAATGTAAGTGTAGGAGCCTTGTGGTTTTCAGCCAAGCGTAAGCCTTGTGATATGAACTGAGAACAAAAGGCTGCCAGAAATCTTACTGGAGCAGTTAGCAGCTGTGATCAGCCACCGTGAAGTTTGTGTTTAATTTACAGGAGAAAGGATATAAATGACTTTGTGCCAGGAATCAGGTACTGGAGTATTTCATTTATAAAGTTGTTTAGAACCCGGAAAAAATTGTTCCACAGGTCAAGAGCAGGCAAAAGCACTCTCAAGCAAGAAGAGAAATTCTTTGCACCATCTTCAAAACAGTGCCACACAAAGGGCTTGTTTTAAAACCTCCAAATTCCGAGTACCGTCAACAGCTGAAGTCTACCAGAAGATCCTAGACGAGCTCCAGCTTATAGCTGACTGCACCTCGCCAGGGCCAAGAAATGGGCGTTTTCAAAACATTCATCAGCTTGGCTTAAAATAGCTTTACTGAGGGCCCAGTGGGTAGAGGTCCCGCCCAGCCCTAGGTCGTACAGACCAAAAGGCCATAGGTTCAACTTTTCATCTGTACTGACTTACAGAACCCTCTAATCTTAGCCAGGGTACTGTAATTTTCTTCAGCACTCTCTATGCTGGGGGGCTGGGTGGATAGGGGGGGGGAGAAAATGGCCAGGGTTGCTGAGTAACTGCTACCAAGAAACTGCTACCTAGCTGGAAGAGAGGGAAGGGGAAAGTTTCTTATCAGTTTTATTTGGACCAGTTTTTAACCCAATGTATGTCAGACATTTAGATCAAATAAGTAGTACAGAATGCTTCTCCAGGAGTTAGGGAAAAGCATGGACATCCATAGTAGGAGTCTTGTAGCTCAGTGGTTAGAGCTCTCGCCTCCTAAGATAGAGACCTGGGTTCTATTTCCAGCAGCGCGAAATGTTGGGCAAATTTCCTTACTCCACATGCCTCTGTTTACCAGGCAGTAAGTAGGAACCCGGTTGTTAGTCGATTGGC